TGAATAATTTTCAAGCTGTAAAAAGTGCAATAAGTTTTTTTACTGATAAATCCGAAGATTTCTCGCAACTTCCGTATAGATGGGAAACTGTCTGTTAAGGCGTAAAACTAATCATAACTAAAAACCATTGTGCATAGTTTACCTTTTTTTTGAATGCATAGCGACGATTGCCTCTTTTTGTATTAGGATTAAGAATTTTACCTCGGCCGTGTTAATTTTCATTTACCTTGGCCGAGTCAGGGCAACCAATAACCAATCAGACATCGTCATTCCCACTTTCTCATGTCCGCAGTTATTATTTAAGCACGCATTCCTTAACGGAAAAATTAGATTCTAAATTTCTATCAGCGGTTCAACACAAACATTATTATAACCACAATCTAACACGTTTTTCCAAGTCAACCATAGTAGAATAAACTCATAATTTAAGTGTTATCTATACTCGTGACATTCTTTCACCACCGTCCCGTATTCAAATTCAATAACTATCCAATCGTCATTAACGTTGACGTTTGAAGTGAGCATACAAGAAAGACTCTCTTTCATACTCCAACTTGGCAAATTGCTCACGCCTAAACACTGTCATAAATAATAATAGTAAATCAGTCTATTTTCAAAAATCTAATTTATAGAAGACGTACATAGGTATAGTCGGGGCCACGATATAGCGAGGTCGTAAAATCGGTTAGGCGTCAAAGTAAACATGTTTTAGCTGCCGGGACCCCGAAATTGACAGAAATACGAGCAGATAAGTACTTGAAACCATGGTCAGGACCGTACAAAGAATTCTTGTATCCAGCGAAAGTCAAACTGATTCTAATATATTTACTGAAAATTGAGTTCAGCTAGGACAATTTAGGGCTTTTTTCTTCTGGGAAAAGCCGCTTTTGGAAGTACGGTTACAAGTAAAGGTCTTATTGAGGTCTTTAACATCTTCATTTACCTGCTCGTGTTATATACAGATAGAAAATGCAAAAGGATTGTGCAGCTTAATATTAACATATTTTCCATTTGTAAATGAAATACCATTTTCTACTTGAAGTACCAAATCATATGCTACCATTCGTTTATTGTTGGAACCCTCAAACAGACTGCAACACACGGCCTTGAGTGCCGCAACATCAATCGGTGCCGATTCTTGAGAGTTTAATTTACGACCTCGCTATATCGTGGCCCCAACTATACTCTAACGGACAAAACTTATGTAATAAGTTCTTTTTTTACAGATAAGATTTCTCGCAGCTTCTGTATAGATGGGAAACTGTCGTAAATGTAGGCATTTTGGGACGGTTTATGGCTCGGCCTGCGCCTCTTGGCGAGTGACAAACACCAGACCGGAGTACCCATCGGTTCGGTCCAGCGATATATCTTTGCCTTTCGACGACAGTCCGTTCTTAGCTTCGGTAGTAGACGGACGCCGAAGAGTCCGAAATAAACTACTTTGCACGACATCCTGATCAGAGTAAAGTTCATTAGACCACCTCCTACATAAATAATAACGGAATAAACTGGTTTCAAAAATATACTCCAGCGGACAAAATTTGTGCAGCCACCTAATACGTAAATGAACCGAAGATTTATACGAGTCGCGGCTTGAAGTCTTCCACAGAAATCAAGGAAATTTCCATTGTTACCATCTCCGTTAGCGCGAGACGTTTGCAAAAAAATTCCGTAACGGGTCGAAAGAGAAAACATCCCGGCTCGTAATTGAAACAAGTCGAAGCGATAACAAGCCGCGATTGGAAGTAACGGCGCGGTCCGTGTATTTCCGAGCGGCGATTACGGTATCTCGTGGCCGTGGAGTGTTGCGCGAATTTATCGTTTCAATTCGACCGGTTTAAGCTCGTTCACGGATCACGTGAAACGCTAGAACACGATTTCCCGCGCCTTCTTCCCGCGTTACAGTGGCTCACTTGGAGAATAACGATTTCCCAAGGGAAAGACAGTATTTTTCGGGCTTCCTGTCCAGATGGGAGTAAATTGTCGGTGAAATACTCTGGCCGAAACGTGAAAGCGTTCATCGGTCTGAGAGAAGATGAATGAAACGCGGTTACCGGTCGGCGAAATGTGTCCAACCTGTTTTTACCCCGAGCCAGACATGAAATTCTACGATTCCAACGGAGGACAAAATTTATTCGACTTTCGAACGAACAGATGAAAATTCGAAGATCTGAGAAAAATTTTCTGCCCTGACAACAACACGTTTACCAAAAAATTAGGCAAAGTTTGGGAATTTTTTTTTTTTCGGAGGATGTGAAGCAACTTGAAGCATTATTCTCCAATTTTTGAAAAGTTAAAATGTTACAAATTGGAGGAGTTATCGCGAGACCTCTTGTGCTAGAACATCGATTGTTTGCCGCAATCGTCGACAAGTATTGCCGAATTTTTGTCGATTCGTAAATAAAACTGCATTACCTACAGTGTAGCCTAACATTTTTCCGAAATTACAATTATTGCGAAAGTAGTGGCAGTTTGAAGAGGGAAAACTTTTTTTTGCAAAAGAAAAATCAGCTCTCGACATTTCTAAAAAATTGAATAATCGACTAATTGAAAAGATCTCACGCTACATTGTAGGTAATACATTTTTATTTTTAAATCGACAAAAATGCCAATACTTGACGATGGCGGCTAACAATCGACGTTCCAACAGAAGAGGTTTCGTAATAACTCCTCCAATTTGTAACATTGTTACTTCTTAAAAATTGAAGAGGAAAGCTGAAAGTTACATTTGCATCCTCCGGAAAAATTGAAACATTTTATTTAGTAATTATCTATGCAAAAAATTCCCAAACATTCGCCTATTTCCAGAAGCCTCGGGATGGTGCACCCTCTTTAAGAGGGTATTCTAGTGTGACAGCCGCTACTTAGGCCTTCTTTGCTAATTTATTATAGAAGTTGAGTAACAGTTATCAACACGCGCTTTATTCCTACGTATTTACACGTCCTTGAAGAATGCTCACAATTTTTTTTGTTGAAAAATAATTAAATATGGCTGCTGTGGAGCACGTGAAACACGGGCATGAAATGCACCCTGTGCAGGAAATACACAGTTTCTCGACTAGAATGAAACAAGTTTACAGATCGCATCTGTACTCTGTTACCCTCCAGTATTAACCATTTCAATTTTTACTCATTTATCATAAAGAGCACCCTGTGTACGACAGATCTGATCCCGCAAATCCAATTCTTCCTTCTCTCAAGCTGCTCAAGAATCAAGCTCATCTTTATTCAGGGGTGAACCGTGCATCGAAGACATCGAAAGAGGGCCAAAGAAAGAGAAAAAGACAGCGAGAGAGAGAGGGAGGTTTGAATTCTCCGATAATCACCTTTCATAACCGCGTTTTTCTCTCATTAGCTCTCTGGTTTCATCCACCGTGGACCCGTTTACATTCGCTTGGCAATTCTCGCCGATATTGGTCCCTGGCCTGGATCAATCCCCAGGGTACTCCGCTTCGAGGAGGATATATTCCTCTCGAGCGTCTCTGCGGTCCGTTGTTAAGAAGATTTATGATCACGGTTGTAGCTGCGAGACCGCTCGTAATACGAAAATAATGCAAATGTTGTGTAAACGCGTCGATACAATTGCGAGGTGGAGATATTTCGAAATTTAAATCGGACGCGTTTAAATTGATTTAAATTAGATTTATACTCCTTGCCTCGCTAGAAATATCTGTATCAAGGTGGTACGCTATCCTGAAGCGTTTGGAAGAACGGGAAAAGTTTGCGAATTTTTTTTTTCACAGGTTACTACTAAATGAAAAGATTCGATTTTTTTTTTAAGAATATAAATGTAACTCTCGGCTATCTGCTGCAATTTTTGAAAAGTGAAAATGTTACAAATTGGAGGAGTTATCGCGAAACCTCTTCTGTTAGAGTATCAACTGCTGCATGAAAAGTTCTTTTTGAATTATCGATAAAAGTGTATTACACCTATAATAGCGAACGATTCTTTCGATATCTTGATTATTCAATTTTGTCGAAAAGTTTGAGGTTGATTTTTATTTTTTGGTAAAGCGAGCTTTTTTATCTTCAAACTGCCACCGTTTCTATATTAACTCCAATTTTCGAAAGATCCTACGCTACGTTGTAGATATTACATATTTATTTATAAAACAGAAAGAATTTTGTAACATTTCTAATTCTAAAAATCAGCGGAGGAAGCTGAAAGTTACTTGTATATCCTCCGAGAAAATTGAAACTTTTCATTCGGTAGTTTCTATAAAAAAAATTCCCAAACTTTACCTACTTTCAAACGCCTCACGGTGGTGTGTACCCCCTTAACACTAAACGTACCGGTCAAATGGACGGGTTTTAAAATTTCATTTAAAACCATGCATCTGTTTTTTCCCGATCTTGTTAAAACTAAAAATATAATTTTTTTAATTATTATTATCTAAAGGCTATTTTCTGCGTTGTTTCCTATATTCAATTGACAATCACCTGCATTCCTTTCGGAAGAATATTATTTCATTTCCTGTCATTTGACCGCCTACGGTAAGAATAGGTATACACATAGTGTCGGTACGTTTAGTGTGTATGACACAAGAAAAAAGGGAAAAAATCAGAAGTAGGAGCAATTTCTCTCTATCAATCGATTAACAACCGCAACGTTTAGCCATGGTAATTGCAGTCACGGTCTAAAGATTCCGCGATCCGGGGGTACACAAGAGTTGCACCGGTGTGGTCCATCAATGGAAACTGATCGTCGCATTAATTTCGCTGGGTCGAGCGTTGCACAACCGGTGCAGTTTCAATGCAACCTGTCCATCTGCATACGCGCCTTGCCTCTGTTAACCGCGATCGAACCTCGCTTCATTATTCGCCTAACTCGCGATAACGAACTAATTGGGCCTATTAACGCAACTCTGGCTGCCCCACCTGTCACACGTGTGTAATGCATGTGTACGTGTATTCTGTCTCCTCTCAGCCAAAAAAAAAAGAGTCTCACCAAAGAGAAAACATTCCGGCTGTAGTAGATTCACACTGTGAAACCGTTCACCATGTTCAGACACTTCGCGCTATTGCTCCTTCTTTCGTGGACGTGCGTTCACGATTTCACGAGTTGTTCGAGCACCGACAGAAGAAAGAGGTATCTGGTGTTTCCAAAGCCCGGCGATACGGTGCCGACCAAAGTGCAGGTACTCGACTGGCAGTCGTAATTGTATCGGGCGTGCTCGAATCTTCGCTTCAGTCAAGCTGCACGTTTAATTGTGCTCGCTGATTCTAATTGGGTATCGATTGCTAATTGTTTAAGCGATGCTGCTGCTGGGCTGTGCCGGGCTCGCTCGCTGTCTGGCTGGCTCGTGTTAAACGGTGCGCGTGTGAATATCGAGACAGAGGTTTCAAAAGAGACACGAGACGATGTTCGTTTCTCTCCCTCTTGTCCCGATACCGTTTGACAGGCGTTGCAATTATGTGCAATTCCAGTGTTTCTACACGCCGCTTACCTATTCGATGATCGTGTGAATTGTTTAAATTTCTCTCAAAGTGGAGGGACATTTGACACTTTGAAATGTCGCGACACGTTCGACTTCACCGCTACGACAAAGTTCACAATGGAATTGTATTTTGCAACGTCCGTGTTTGTACGGATTTCCACCACGATTTTACGTATGTAAGTTCCAGATTGATAATTAGAATTCCTCCGCGGTGCGGTTTGTACGTACGGAACAGGTGGACGTACAGCTCGGAGTTTCGCGTGTTTCGAGCATAGATTACTATTGTCCGGTGTTGTGCAATCGAAATTCATCTATACTTCCCCCCTCCGAATCTAATTTTCGTTCGGCTGAACGTGACGAGGCCAGCTACAGGCTCGAACGAGCCTGCCAATTCGATTGGCGGTTATTATAAACGATCGATGACACCTTCGTGTATTTGAAAACCGTTCCAGTTAATCCTCGGCCTCGGTTTACCCATGGAAGTCGACGTCAGCACGATTATCGGATATGTGATGAAATTTAATTACGTCCTGCCCTCTAACGCCTCCTACTTGACGGATTCATACGTTCGGTATGACAGATCGATCAGGCCCGATGTCGAGGCTGAACGCACCGCTGACGAATCCCCGTCGGATCACCAAGGTACACCTCTTCCGTCGCCGTCGACGCGCTTCCGGCATTTTTTCATCCCCCAAATCACGCATCCTCTTTATCTTTTCTTTTTTTTTTTTCGACAGAGAGAGAGATCGTACCCTCTGCGTTCCTTTGGAAAATTGAATAGGGAAAGGTGGAGGTTCTCTGACGCTATCGATAGATCCTTACTTTTCGTCCGTTAATTTTCTCCCGTTTTCGATCGATATTTTTCTTATTTGAAAATTAAATAGGAATGAAAGGTAGATAGAGAGAGGGAGAGAGAGAGTGAGAGAGCTCCTGTGCGCATGAAAAATTAATTCCTTCCACTTCATAGATTTTATACGTATCGCTAAAGGAGAGGAGATCTCGATTTCTTCAAATCCTCGCTAGTATCCCTAAACCCAGCGAGTCAGAGAGCGAAGGCTGAGCGGGTGGATAAGGCGAGGATCCAACTTGCTTTACATATTAACAAGGCTACTTTTGTTACGTGCCCGGTAACACAGTCGACGTGCACAGTACCCCTTCGCCCGCTCCATTATCCCTGGAATATTCTCCTCGAACCCATTAATCCTCCCTCTCCCACCGGTTTTATACTCCGCTTTTATGCTCACACCGGTTATTTTCTGGCGGTAGGTGGGCCACGCGTCATTACCAGATGGGAAATTTACGAAATCCTCGAGTCGGTGCTCAATGGTTCGCGATCGGGCAAGGCCTGCCTTTTGAGGGCGATCTGCGAGGCTTCCGCTTCGCCTTTCACCAATCGACGTGGTCTCAGCTCTCAGCTGTTTCATTTACTACTCACGTGAGTGTGATTCCAGTTTCTACGGATTATCCTTCAATCTTATTTTAACTTTGTACTATGTTGCTGCGTAAGTTTTGTCTGATAGAGTACGTCTTCTACAAATTCGACTTTTCAAAACAAAACATTATTTATGACAATTTCTCATCTATGTACACTACCGGCCAAAAGTTTCGAATCACCGAGCATTGCAATTTACATAAAAATTTTTATCGTTCGAATTAATTGATACGAGATAAATTGATAAATGTAGAATTGAGATAAACTTCAAATCTATCAAAAATTAGCAGCAGATTTAATATTGATGAAAAGTGGGAGGTGATTCCAAACCTTTGGCCGGTAGTGTATATGGAAACTGCGAAGAATCTTCGGATTTAGCAGTAAAAATAGAACATATAGAACTTTTCACGGCTTCAGATTTTTCCATCTAAACTGTTTTGTAGCAAACGAAAAATGTGAAAATCTATTGGGACCAGATGCGGGAAATATCGTGGGCAAGGAACAAGTTTCCATATTTCTTTTTGCGTTGCCATCGCCACGTGTGGTCTTGCGTTGTCTTTTAATGGTCTTAATGAAATGGTTAATGAAATGGTCTTTAATGAAAATCTTTCGGTTAGTATTATAAAGATAAAAATTATTAAAAATAGTCTAATTTCAAATGAAATTATTTGGGCAATTGATCGAACTGATCCAATAAGTGCGTATTTGTTTTTTGAAATTCATCCAATTAGTACTATGGGATAAGTGTTTAATCCAATTATTAAAATTAAAAAAATTATTCTATTTGTTATGTTATATAAGTTAAATCATGGATATATAATTCATATAATTATTGATAATATGAATATAAATATAGGGCTTAATTTATAAATAGTGAAATTAACATTTATTACAATTCATTCTTTAGATATTAATTTGATTGCATCTCTAATTGGTTGTAAAAGTCCTTTGAATCCAACTTTATTTGGGCCTTTACGTATTTGTTGATAACTAAGAATTTTACGTTCAAGTAAAGTTAAGAAGGCAACTCTAATAAGAATTATAATGATTAATAAAATTATGTTTAATATTACAAAAATTATTATATTATATATGATTTATTTATATATTATTTAAATTCTAAATTTAATGCACTATTCTGCCAAAATAATGGTTATTATATCTCTTCTCCGTCACATTATTGCGCGAAATCCACTTTTCATCTGCCCTGACCAGGCGATGCAAAAAATCTTCTTGAATTTGTCCAGTGCGAAGCAAAACACAGACGGTAAATTTTTCGGTGATAGTTTGTGCGGTATCAAGTTACACTTTGGAAAAAGTTCCAAAAAATTTGATTTAATGAACAATCGTATAGTGTAGCAGAGACTTTGATAAGTATTCCAGAATTTTTGCAGATTTTTTGAAAACCTAGTCATGAACGATTCAGTTTGTCTAAGGAGTGTGAGAAAATATGTTTGCCTGCCGAGAGTTAATTTTAGTCATTGATAAGTAGCAGACAAAGCTTATGCAGCAATCTAATATCATTGGTTTATTATATTGAAACAGTTCCATAAACGACCACTTAATTTTCTTCGTCTTTCAGACCATCCAGTACCGTAGAGCCCTTCCGGAATGAGCTTGATCGAGTGTATCACGCTGCTGAATTAATGGGCCGACAGGCGGATATCCCTTGTGACACTTTATTCCCGGAATGCGGCGAGAGTCCCTTGAACTACTTCACCGAGGTGCACGAACGAACATTTGCCTAACATTATCTAGAATATGCATTGTTTTAATCGATGGAATAAACCTCTAACCCTTCTTAAAACGTAATTAAAAATGTATTATTTGCTGCATTAATAACGAACTCGTTTCAATTCCGCTCCCTGTCACCAACAAAATGAAAGAATTATCGTGAAACGTGCCGAAATACTAAATTAAGTTAATCACGTTAAAACCACTCTCGGTGAAACACGTCGCATTTTAAGGAGACAAAAGCCTATGGGAGAAAGAAAGAGAGAGAGAGAAGACTATATCGAATCGCGTAATTTATGTGCGCCGATGTCGTACGATATTAGAAATATCAAGGGGAAGAAAAGGGCGTGTGAACTGGCGGAACGTAGAGGCAGCGAGGGTTGAACAGAGAGAAAAGGGTGGGGTTCGCGGCGAAACGTGACGCAGTTATCCGGCGTTATTGGCAGTTCTTTCGTTCAATAACAGGTACACGTAAAAAGAAAATACTTGGGTTGAAATTTATAGAGGGTGCAGAGCGAGCGTAGCGTGGAAAAAATGGCCCGTGACGCCGGTGACCGAAACAGTGAGGGAGAAACGAGTCGGGTGGTTTGGGTGAAGAGAGGAGGATGGTTTTCCAGGGCAAAGCTATTCGTGGTAATTAACACGGGTCGACAATATACGATTTTACTTCCGCGTCGTTACAACGCTACCGAGGCCGAAACCTTTGAGCTCTGTAGGCCCACCCCCTTCATCCTGTTCACCCTTTCTCTCTCTCTCTCTCTCTTCCTCTGTCTCGTTTTTCCGCTTTTTATCCAGCTTGGTGTGTTCGTCCGCCTCGCGAACAGAGTTTCGGTTAATTGTCGATAATTCGTGATGCGTGGAATCGACGAACTCGTCGCATTCGACAGATTAACGAACGCATTGTCCCCGCGACGCGTGTTGCCTGGACCTCGTTGAGAATTGGCTCGATTGTCACACCAGCCTTCGGAGATTCGATTTTCGGAGTTGTTTTCTGGGTTATTTGGAGGAGGGGATTAATTAGGAGCTTTTGTTCTAGATGGGAATGGTTGGAAAGCTGTTGAACTATTATAATTTTCAACACTTTGAAGTTTGATTAGAATGATTGGTAGGGAAGAATTCGGGTAATACGTGTATTATGAAGTATACCAAGAGCACTGGCGTATTGGTCAATTACAAGTGTAATTTGTTTTTTTAACACTTAGCCAAGCGAATGGGGAGATCTCCTCGCTGTGAAGTAAGTCCGGGGAGATCTCCCACTTTTCTCTCAGCAACGCGTCGTCTTTTATCATGTTTACTTTTTCTATTATTATAAGTCTGCCTTAAACTGGAGTTGTTCGCAATTCGTAAAATACCTTTTCTGCTTTTGTAAAGCACAAACAGCGTACAGTCAGGCGTGACGCGCGCGGTTGGCTAAGTGTTAACATTGCAAAATATCGGTATAGTGTGTTTATACTTGAAGAATTTTTAAAGTGCGTATTCTAGAGAAAAAGTGTTTCGTGTGAAAATTACACGGTATAGAAGGGAACGTGTGACGCTGAATCGGTTTTTTAACCCTTTGCACTCGGAGGTGATTTTGCTATAGGGAAGGTTGTAAATCGGATCTTCTTTGAAATTTTTTAAAACTAACGTAGAAATAAACTGTGAGATTTTATTTAAATATTCGATGCATTCTCTATTTCACTCTGGTGAATGAATTCATGGAGACCCATAGACCTGTCTGGATTCATTATTTAGTGTAGCTCTCAGATTTTAACGATCTTTGGCACGAAGCTTGAAAAACTGAAGCCACTGATACCCGGTTTTGGGGGCAGACTGTTAATAGTTTACGAGGTATTTAACATTCAAATTTTTTACCTGTGTTTGTCTTCTAAAGTGTAGGTATGTATTACTAGAAGCGGTCGTAGTGGGGTTAGCCCACTTGGGGCCAAAAAACCCGTACACAACCGACCGCCAAATACATACACACACACACCACCCCCACAAAGAAAATTAATACAAAAAAAAAGAAAAAGGAAATCGAGCTGGATGACTACTCACATATGCTGCCAAACACCACAACCATTAAAAATATAAACAAACCATAAATACTACTCATAAGTAACACAAATGTATCATAATGTAAATAATGTAAATAATGCAAATATGACTAATCCACTAACATAGCCTAAGTACCCTCTAGCATCCCCCCCTCTAGCGACTAAGTAAACGCCCATCCATCACGCCTGTAGGTTTTTACTAAATTTTCCCTATGCACCAAATCTCATGATCAAACCCCCAAAATCCATGATCGAAGAAATCACTCAACCCCCCACCCCAACACGTCAGATGTCCCAGGACAGGAAGCGTAGTGTAGCCCCTCCTCGTCACATTACAAATATAATGTAATACTGTACGTTCATGTTAATAAATAAAAATAAATGGTAATTGGTCGTAGTGGGGTTGGGAAGACGTCTGGCTGGCGAAAGAATGTTCTTTCTTGTCACGGGTTCAAGTCCTGCTGGAGTGATTTTTTCAAGATGTTACTTCTTTTTTATAACTTTCTTTTAAGGTAGAAAACATTAATGTTAAATATCTCGTAAACTATTAACAGTCTGCCCCCAAAACCATGTATCAGTGGCTTCAGTTTTTCAAGCTCTATCATTGCGCCAAAGATCGTTAAAATCTGAGAGTTACACCTCGGGACCTTTCCTTGTCGGTCGCCGCTCGATTGCAATAACCTGTTTGTTTACGAGATATCAAGGGGACGTTGAATCTTTTTAAACGGAACGTGTACCTTTTTGTACCAAAATTTAACAGAGCGGTGAATTTTCTGTAACTCTCACCTCTAGTTGAAGCTTACTTCTTCTCACCTTGATCTAGTTGGAGCAATTTTTAATTATCTCCTGGAAACGGTTGCGCATTAGAGAAGTTCAATTTATTTACATACATATTTGACCGAGGATTACAAAGGGATGCAATAAAGAGTGTCAAGCAATCGTGAGCGGGCTACACAGAGCGAGGCAATAAATTCAGAGGAAGAAAGTTGGCACGAACGGGGCTGAAAGCGAAAAAAAGTTCGTATATTTGACAGGGGAGGCGAAAATTCCCTAACTCCGGTCATATATTAACCCTAACGAAATTCCAAGTTGACGAGCCTTTCGCTGTATGCATATACAATGTACACTCCCCGTTCGTACGTATTAGGATACTTGCTGAATATGAAACAGTCCTAAACAGTAGTATAAAATTGTTAAGATCCTGAAAAGAATTGTATTCAGTCTGGAATCTCATACGAGATTTGATAAAGAAAAATATATCCAGACTGGTATTAAAAGTGTTTACAGCAGTAATTATGTCTATTCTTCACTGAAATGTGATTTATTATTTTACTTTTTATATCAAGCTGCTGTATCAACTGTATAAACTTCATTAATTAATGTTCTAAAGGCTGCAAATGTAAAGTAAAATTTTTTAATTTTACACTATATGAGATTTTATAATAAAATACCTGGACTGGTGTCGTCAAACTTTGTTAATAAAAAATTATTCCACGTTGAAGTGATTCTCTTTAAAATAATCACAACAATGATAACCACATTGTATTATGTCAGTTTTTCTCTTCATGTATGATATACACTACCGGCCGAAAGTTTGGAATCACCTGCCAATTTACATTAATATCGAATCTGCTACTAATTCTTTATTGATTTGAAATTGATATTGTGGAGATCAATAGCACGGATGATAAAAAATTCGTTGGAAAATTATTATAAATGGTAACCTTTTTGGGGAATTTTTGTGCAACTTGCAATGCACAGTGATTCCAAACATTTGGCCGGTAGTGTATGGGTTACATGACACTTGAGATATTTTTTTATCATACCTTTATGATACTAACTTCGACGAAGGAATGTGTTATAACTGAAATCATACAGTACTTTTTGTACGAACATAATCGATGCCCTAACACTTATAAACAGCATTATATATAGATTAACGTGAGCAGAATCGACCGTCGCGTTTACCCGATTTTTAGAAGTTCTCTTCTTGCTTAAAAGATAAAGCTCGCTGGAGTGTTGCACTATTTACAGGCCGATAGCCCGAAAATTAATTAGCGTTGCAGCGCAGGAGTTTAGAGAACTATCCGAAACACAGGAATGTTTAAAAAGTTGCTGTTTTGCATTTCTATTTGCCATATAAATTACACGCGCACGTTTCGTGAACTTCTCTTTCGAGTTAATTTATAGTATTGCAAAAATTGAGCAAATTCAGGCTGGTAATTTTCAGTTCCAAGATCTCTCGATATTCTAAAAATTCTAAAAATTCTTCCATTCCTTTATATCTACATCCAAACATTTTACAGTCATTAACGTGCGTCGAATGTCTTGAAACACCGTAAAAAAGATTTCATTCCGAAATTCCCTCGAAGCTCACAATCAGTTGACGACGATTCCGTTTTGCCATATAAATTACAAGCGCACGTTCGGCGATCGTCTCTTTGAAAATACACAAACTTCAAAAGAGTAATTTTGAATTCTGAAAACTCTCGATATTCTAAAAATTCTTTCATTCCGTCGTATCTATATCCAACAATTCCAAATATTTTAGTCATTACGGTACGTCGAATGTCTTGAAACACCGTAAAAAAGATTTCATTCAGAAATTCCCTCGAAGCTCAATTGTCGACGATTCCTCGGATTCCTCGATTTTCTCTTGCATTTTGATTTGCCATATAATTTACAAGCGCGCGTTTGGTTGATCTTCTCTTCGAAAATACACAAAATTCAAAAGAGTAAGTAATTTTCAATTCCAAAATCTCTCGATATTCTGTAAATTCTAAATACTCTTTTGTTCCTTCGTATCTATATCCAACCATTCCAAGCGTTTCACAGTTACCGCTCTAGATTCAAAATCTACACCGGTCATTAAGACACGTGGAACGTCTTAAAACACCGCCAAAAAAAAAAAAAAAATTATCGTTCAGCATTCAGAAATTTCTTCGAAGCTCACAGTTGACGGCTATTGCCCGGATCCATCGATTTTCTCCTGAGCTCGGGAACTACGGGACGAGCTTTCGATTTCCTGGCCGGATGTCTCGGCCAGGCGGATAAGGAACGACAAATGGACATCGTTTAACCCAGATAGATAAAGGCATGGGTATGCGCGTCCGCGTTCGCGGTTACGTTCTACGGGGAAAAGATTCGTGTACATAACGAGGGCGAGTTTTACGAGGCCGTTCGCATCGGTTGTAATTCAATTTAATGCCTGGATCGCAGACCACCAGAGCCCCCGGTTCACGAAGATTTCGCCGCAGCCTTCGAATCACGGCTCACGGGAACTAGATACCGTGAGAGAGAGAGAGAGAGACTCCTTTTTCCAACAGGATGAGATCTCTACCTCCCTTGTTCTATCCGTCCCTTCCCTTTCTGCGGCTAGAAGGAACCTGAAAGAACCTATCTTAGAACTTAGGTGAGGATTTTATTACGTAGTAACGTGGCACTACCTTTAGACGCCATTCGAATGGATGGTGGATGTTTAATCTCTGTGAAATCTTCCGAGATCTCGCCCCTCTTTAATTTCAAACGCTTCGTTTTCCAAATTTCCATCACGACGCGTGCACTGTCGTTCATAAGTATTGGGACACACCTGTTATGTTTGTACAGAAGGTTTTGTATGATTTAGACAACATTTCTTTCGTCATATATCGTTAAAAATATGTATTCAGTGTTTTTCTCGTAAGTGGTAGATTTTTGGAAAAATAAAATAGAACAAGTTTCGTTACTTTTTATAAGCAACGTGATGGCTTGAACCGATTTCTTAAATTTGCCACGAATATACGTGAATTGTTTGAAATTAATTGCTACAATTTTTTTGTATATTGTATGAAAACGGTACAACAGACACAATTTTGTGTGAATATTTAGTGTGACATAATCAACGGCACGCTGTTATTTATTATTATTTGCATTCTTTGCTCTTTAAATTTCCAAACTGAATTTTCTAATGTCTATTTTGGTTTGCTTCATTTAGATTTTAGTAGATTTCAGTAGATTTAATAGAATTTAGTGGACTTCGATAGAATTCGGTAGATTTCAGATTTATGCTTCATATTCAGCAAGTGTGATTTAAGACCGTTACTTTTCGATAAAAAGTTCAATATAAAAGTCCTCTCTCATCCTAACTGTAATAGTAAAATAAAAATTCGAACTCGCCTCTGAGACGAGTGTTTCACAGTTAAAGGGTTAAATTACTCTCGTTTCTTCGCCAGATGCAGTACCACGTATCTATAGAAATGCACACATGTACTCGTCACATTACAAAACTCCAAGCTGAATAATTTTGTAACAACTGTTTACACATTCACTTCACGTCCAATAACTATCCTAACACCAACGAACACGAGTGTTCACATCGATGTCCCTGAAGAGGTTAAAAGAATCGCTAAACATTCTTCTACCTGTTAGCTACCGGTAATCGGTGCTAAGGTGTGAACTAACCATTCCGTTACCAAAGTGTCTTCGCCAAATTAACACTCTAATTCCCGACGAATCACTCGATCAGGTGAACGAACCAAGTCAGAGACGAAAACCAGTGTCTCTATGCTAATATTTGCACTAATTATTTCCACAGATACAACGGGACCGGTCTCGTCTCACCTCGGCCTCTGGTTCGTCGAGGCAGTAGCACGTGGCGAACGGTTGCTCCAGGCGGATTCCCCTAGCATCGGAACGAAACAGACATCTCCCAGCGATCGCAGTTCTCCTGTTCGTCGCTGGAACGATCGCTTCGGGCCTGAAAAGCTGTTCGAATGACTAGGACAACCGTTTTCCTGACTCTCTCGCTGGTCTGCCTGTCTCGGATCGTTGTGCAGGGACTGGAGGACAACGAGAAGGACGATTTCACGAGGAATAACGGCACCGGGCTTCTCGAAAGTCCCTCCAGGCGACCCAGGGCTCTCGTTTTCCCAGATCCTGCTCAGCTTCTGGTACGTATGTATATGTATATAGAACCGCGGAGGGATTCCGCTTGACGAGGCTAATGAACCGTCGTCCGCGGCCAATCGAGGATCCGCTCGCGCGTCGCTCAAGTGCTCGCGATCGGTTTCCGCTTTTCTTTTCGTGGCTGCAGGCCCTCTTGAACGATTTCCATGAACGACGAACGTTTTTGCTCGTTACGCGTGCTAGGAAATTTCTCCCTAGTGATTTCTCTCCATTGAGATAGGATTTCGAGAGGATTATTTGCAGTTTCGTTATTAATTGACAATCTCTTTTCCTTGCTTTTCTTTCTCTTTCTCGTTCTTGTTGTATGTAAATAAATGCGCAATGCGAGATTGTTGCTGGGTAATTTTTGCGGGGAGGTTTGAAAGGTTCGTTAGGTCCGATTATTATCCATTCTCGTCGGGATAATTATTCTGAAAGAGAGATGTGTCGAGTTGGCTCACGCGAGGCCAGCCAGCCACCGTTTACGCCACTCCTTGAATAATTCCCATCCGCGCCACATGTCCGAGGCTCGTCCAATTTTCCATCCAGCGTGTTTGGAAACGGTTGTCCTTCGGATTACAACTGCGCGGCTTGATAGGATGAACGAGGGCGTGACCAACAGCTCATGGAGCTGGATTTCATCTCACGTAGTCGGCGAGTTGAATATGCTAGACTGACCAACTGATTCTACCGAAACTCGAATTAATTTCTTTGCTGGAACTGCTTCTGTCAGATTTATTTAGACGTTAGTTCCATCCCTACTAACGTCTAGAAATTGAAAAAGTCCAAGAGTAAAAATCCTTACCGCCAAGTTTGGGTTCAAGCATGGTCGGGCGTCCTCGCTCATTCTCCGGCTTGTTCTTCGGTTTGTGGTTTCGATGGAAAGTAGAAACCCGGTCTGAAAGAGGTATAAGCTGTAAAGCTGAGGTACTCTGAGTCCTTCTAAGGACGACCCGCACTAGTTGTCAGATTTATTTCGATAGTTTCGGGCTAACGCAGAATTTCACTTTCACCGCCGTCCAGGTGAAATTTTAACATTTTCATTTTGTTGTTCACTTGTTGTTTTTCTTTGCATTGTACTGTTCGCGCCTTTTGACACATTTCCATTTTAATTTAAACCTTTGTGCACTTTTACCTTCATTTAATAAAGCACATTTTGCAATATATGGGCATAAATCTCAGAGATGGATTCAGCAGGCAGAAATGATAGAAATGTTTACATAATATTTTGACCAATTTCACCTGGATTCCGAGTTGTAGCCTTTTTTCTACGATAGCAGTTGTTAACCAGCCAGATCGTATATGAAATATCGAGCGTTGCTTACAAACAGTTGACTAAAAAGGGCGAAAAATCAATTTTTTGGAATGTGTAAATAGAAAAAATATTACTGGAATAGAGAAACGATTGTGACTCTGAAACCAGGTCAGACACGAACTTTCATTGTTACTTTTCTACGCTGAATCTGTCACCGAAGTTATGCCCACATATTACGATACACGGTGCATATAGAGCCCCGTCACCGTAAGAATCTTCGAAACGAACAACAGAATTGCATAATCAACGAAACAATCGAGGTTCCTCGACGCAATTAGTGCGAGTATCCAGGAGCAGAGGGGCGTATCGGTGCTCTTTGAAGTGTATCGATCTCGATTGGCAGCGGGCCGGGGCGTGCTCGATGCAAAAACGCTTTTCGCCCTTCCCCTAGCCCTCCGCGAATCTCGTTAAACTGTCCTCCCCAGACGCGCGGCCCGAAACGATTCTCCGTGGAAATTCGCGGTTTTATCGAAAATTCATACGCCCTTGCCGCTACGTGTGCATCAATATGTACGTGTAGCATATACGTATGTGCGAGGGGTTGGCACGCAGGGTTGCAACACACGTGAATGGAACCGGGTAGGATAGGTATCCACCTGGCGCAGAAATTGGACGAGCCCTGAAAGGTCAGCTGGAATGTGTATATATCGATGGAGGAAGATGGGAATCGAAATACGTTATACAGCGTGCCGCAACCGCCCTTCCGGAACAGGTTATTACTCGCTGACCACCCTGACTAATTGTCACCTTAATAGAACCAATGGATTTTTCAATCGAGCCCCCGGGTTATCGTGCGGTTTCCTACATTGGTTCTTTTCAGACTGTTTTTACGCTGGTTCTAGACACGACCACGATGTTAATTGAAAGCTTTGTCGTTGGTATTAGAGATGTTGCTATTAGGTTGTAAGTTCACTTCACAGATAGCACGTGACGTCTTGGAGATGTTCGTTTTAGGTTCATTTTCGGTCTGAACGTCTTGAAGATGTGTAGTCGGAGGAAGAGATATAGCGAGGGGTCGTAAATTAAAGCAGTAACGTCGAGTGCGACATTTTCTGTTTTTTGATTAGGACAAAGGTAAGGCATACTTCATGTGGCCCTAATTGAACTTTCGGGTCGTTATCTTCTCAGAATTTTGTCGATTCACTTGACGATGTGCTTGCACGTGTGAACTTTGACCCCTGACCAATTTTACGACCTCGTTAGATTTCTTCCATTGACTATAGGAGTTATTATGTCCTAACGACGTGTAAAAATTAGGTCTTTAAGACGTTCGCAAGTCTGTGCTAAAGACACTTTGATTTGTAACATTGGACGTCGTTCAGACGTCTTTTGGACATCTTCAGGATTTCACTCGACGTTCATAGGACGTCTGTGTGCTATCTGGGTTTTAACCCTTTGAGAACAGTACAGTTCAATGCTGAATGGTCTACGGTGCCTCGTTAATTGTCGAATAATTTTCTCGCGTATACGAGGAAAGTTTGATTTCCTCCAAGATACGTTAATGTTTTGAGGACATTTAGACGTGAGTTCATGGAACTCAGGTATAGTGATTTTCACGGTAGCGTCATTGAGATACGCGTAACAGCGGTTCCTCGATCCGTTTCTGGTACCGGAACACTCTCACGAGCGGACACTGCTGGATTTTAACCCGATCTCGTCCGAGTTCATCCAATTTCCTCCTCAAACCTTCCCCTTCCCGCGAATAACCGCTATAACAACGAGTTTTCTGATCGAATCGCGGTCCTGGTATATACGCAGCCACCTCTTTTCCGCGACGAACCTCGCGGAAACATCCTCTGGAAGATTGATACGAAGAATAGGTATATGAAAAATTGCCATTTTCCGAGTTCGCGAAATATATTTTAACGTCTCCTTAAAAATTGTTCGTGCTAATAGTTGATCTTCGGCCTGGGTACGCCACTGCAGTTGGATCGTGAGAGCGTGATCGTTGGACTCTTCGCGAAGATCGTGTTCAACATGCCAACCAATGCTACAGACTATACTCTTCCCGGGGTGTATTATTCTCGAGCCCAGAAGAGCAGGTGGAGCATCTACAAGGCGTTGGAAAAGGTGGCTGGATTGTATGGATTTGGGGGAAAGGCTTGTCTATTGAAAGCCATTTGCGAGGCTGCATCTGCTCCTTTTGACGGGGCTCATGGTCTGTTGGGACAGATGCTGCATGTGTTCTTCAAGTAAGTAGCGCTGTATTTGAAACATTATTCAATCTGCAAGTCATTAGACACTTGTTGTAATAGAATCTTTTGAACATGTACTTTAAAGAAATTGATAAAAACGTCCGCGGACATTAACCCTTCGACTGCTGGTCACTCAAAGCTTATATCATTAATAGTCGCTGTGTTATTAGATCATCTTGAAAGTTCCCGCGGTATTAAGCCGTTCATTTCGAAGAAAACATAACTTCACTGAAATCAACGCATTTTTATTTAAAATAATTTTCACGATGTTCGGCACACTTTCTCCAATGTATTACAAGAGCATTCATTTCCGCGTACATAAAAATCGGAAATTATTGTAAATAAAAATGTTCAATTTCCTAATACAAGACATGTTTACGTGTTAGGTTAGCCAAATCGCTTTATTGCTAAGTATTTTTATATCAGCGTCGAAAGTAGTCAAAGGGTTAAACCTTCCACGCTCCTCAATCAGAGGAAATGTTTACCTAGCGAAAACGTCATCCAGGCTTCTATTCGCACAAATACAACCTCTGACCTCAACCTAATCATCCCTCGTATCTAAGACACAGGTCTCCTAACTAGCTTCGCCGATGAGTCCGTTAGGAGGCTTAGGATTGTAACGGAAGCGTTACAATTAGGAAAGCGAATGTATCTTTCTATGTATTTACAATCAATATGTTTATCTTAGCAGGCCGCGGTTTATGGTAGCTGTGTACTCGAGGGGCGTTTATACGACTGTCAGTCCCTCTCGCGTAATAAAGCAATTTTTGGCAATTAAGCTTTTTAACAGCGTATACGCCCCACGCTGAACTCTCCGTTTAGGCTGTTTGATATTTTTGCCTTTTCCTTCCGTTGACTTAAACAATGCAACTACGACGACAATTTGATAAGCAAAAATTTTTCCTTTGCTCTATAGTGCATCTTAAACGATACCTTTTTCTTGACAACAATGACTTTTGCAATCTTATAAATATCAGAAGACATACAGGATCAAAAGCGAAACTGTTAGTCTCGACAGCGTAGGGCGTATACTACAATATATAGCAGGGGTGGCCAAACTTTGTCGTAATAGGAGCTAAATATCGTCAAAAATCCTCGAGAGTCGCATCCTCTATAGGAGTAATATACACGTTTATGTGTGTGTATATATATCTTTGTGAGACAATAATTTTATTATAAATTTATTAATTTTCTTTTTTGTATAAACAATATCACAGCAGTGTCGCGTTGTTCGCGTGCATTGAGTGTAAATCAAACTCTGTACACGCAAAGAAATTATAACATGTGATAAAGCATATGGGAGCCGCGATACAAGCCCCGAAGGGCCGCATGCTGCTCGCGAGCCGCAATTTGGCCACCCTTGCTATATAGTAACCAAAAATCGGTCCGGCACGGAACGTGTTAACTAGCAGCAATCGTGAAAAGTGCCTAGCTAATTTTTCACCAATGGTAAACAAACTATCAACCGTATTCTCCTTTTCCGTATCGAATCTCATCTTACGCCTCATCATAACACCCAACGATAGCCTAAAAGTCTCGATCATCGTGTTATAAAGCACAGGATCCATCAGGAGGTATATGGGGTGGTTGCACGATCAAATTTGTGGGGGTCGAACGAGGCAGCACTAACAATAAAAGCGAAGTTACGATGACGTAGTAGTTAACCGGCGTGGCGGATTAGCGTGGCACGAGTGGCGAAGGATTAAGCGGTCGGTCCGCATAACGCGGCGCCAATTAACGCGAGGGAGGCTGCGAAATAACTTCGGGGCTTCTACGGCGTATCCGGTCACGTTATCGATCCTTGTGCCACCCGCTCTCTCTTTCTCCCTTTCTCACCCTCTCTCTCTCTCTCTCTCTCTCTCTGGCCCCCCCGAATTCTTTTCCAGGCCGTTTCTCCCGCCTGCTACCTCTTCCTCCACCTCATCCTTCTCCTACTGCTTGCTGCTGCCGCTACTGCTTGCCGCTGTTGGATCTCTCGCGGCGACGATTGTAATTTTTCACGGGGAACTCGAACGTGAATTTGCTGGAATTCCAGGCCTTCGAGCACGGATGAGAGGTTAGACGAGTACGGGGATCGGGAGTACCGCGCGGCCGAGCGCCTCGGCGAGCAGATGTCGACGGAAAACTGCCACGCCCTTTATCCGGAATGCCGCAGAAGTGTGCTCGACGTGTTCTCCACTGTGGTCACGTGAGCCGGATGTACGAGCAGGAAGACACGCGGTGCGGATGAGAGTCTGTTTGGTTATTGAAAGAATTTCTGCTACGAGTGAACTGATTTCTCGCGAGTTTCGAATATCTGAGAAACTCGCGATGCTCGTCGCTGTGTTACATGACAACGACGCGTTCTACGAGTCTCGACGAGGTTTTTAGGAAACATTGCTGAAAGTATTTCATGTTAGATTCTTTCCTCGGTGGTGCACGTGAGAATGATTAACTCTTTGCATTCTGGGCATTATTTTTTTTTTTTTTGCATAATCGACTGCGGCACACTTTTGCGGTGAGAAATATTTCGTTTTGCAAGGAAAACATGCTTTGATTCGCTTTATGCTACTGATATAAGTAATATTTGGATTTTACATTTCACAGTTGGCCATGGTAATTACGCGTGGAACCTTACTTACAGAGATTTTTGATCGATCAACAACTCTGACACACTTTTGCAGCGTGAAATTTTGTCAAATGAAAAGTTTTGTTCTGAAAAAGAACAAATTATTTATTTCCATTTCTCTGGTTAACTTGCTTTATTTTATTAATATAAATAAATCTTGAATTTCACATTTTTTAAGTTTGTCACCCTAACAGCGTGAATGGACTGCAAAGGGTTAATATCTAGCACACTTTTGCAGTGTGAAACCTTTTAAAACGAAAAATTTTGTTCTGAAAAGGAACAAATTATTTATTCTCGCTTTGCAATTAATAAAACAAACATCGACAAGACGCTGAGAAAAAAAAAAAAAACATAGCGTCATCCATACTAAACAGATGGTTACTATGTTATTTTTCTGTATATGTTTATATTAATCTGCTCAGTATGTTGATCATTTTTGCTGTTACTATTACACAGACACACACTCATTTCTCCTAATAATCCAACATAAGTAAAACTTGAATTTCACATTTTTTAAGTTTGTCACCCTAACAGGGTTAATATTATTCCTAACAACGTGATACGGTAGAGTATAGTAGGTAGGGGAGAGCGGGGTAACTCCGGCCAGTGGGTAATTCCTGCCACTTTAATATCTCAAAATAAAAAACGCGTGATTTGACTTTGTATGGTACTGCCACTTGGTAATGATGCAACTAGCTAATATTCATCGTTTCTGTGACTATAGCAGCCTTTTGTTTCAAACAATACCAACGAAACTTTGTAACAGTGGCCAATTTTCAAGCAAGGTAAATTAGCACTTAGAATCGACATAAATTATTAATATTAATCTCATTAAATAGAGGAAGGTTTCTACTTTCAAAGTCACATGTGGCTTTTTGTTATATGTAAATTCAATTCAGTTTATTACTTCAAATATCTGAACAAGAGGTGTGGGGTAATACCGGTCAAAATTCAGGGGTAATTCCAGCCAGCTTTTAAATAACATTGCTTTTTTCTGGCGTAGATGCCACGAACATACAAAAGGGTTACGAAGAAGGCAGATTGGAGCCAGGAAAATTTATTAAAGGCCATGGATGCCATTAGTAAGAAAAAAATGTCCATATAACGTTTAAGGCAGCACAATTGTTTGGAGTACCATATTCTACTCTTCAAGAAAGAAAAATTGGAAGTAAACCAAGAGATTCAGTTAACAATAATAGTGAAACCACTGCTAACTAAAAAAAGTAATAAAATTTTTATTAATTTAACAGTTTTCTTAACTCTTTTATAAAGAAAAATCATGCCAAAATCAGCCAAATGCCCTTTTTTAGTTTTTTGTTTGCAATTTTATTACAACATAAATTTATGCCTTCTCGGCCATACTAATACAAACTAGACACTTTAAATCAATTAATATCAAAAAATTAACAAATGTGTAACTTGTTCAAATTTTCTAGCATTTCTTGCTTATGTAGCCGGAATTATCCCGCTCTCCCCTATACTTGAGTAGAAACTCTCCAAAAAATTATTTATTTCCTTAACTTTCTTTATTTCACTGATATAAATAAAACTTGAATTTTACATTGTTTTAATTTTCTCACCCTAACAGCGCGAATGGACTGCAAAGGGTTCTCGTTACAAGAAGGCGTAATAGAAACTAGCAGGTTAGCACATTGGCTGTTTGTATTATTGACTATTGACAATCAATAATTGTTAAATGGGATACGTTCCGTATTACTACGTTTATTCAACGGATTCCATTCATCTGTTAGAAGCACTTCAACCCTTTCAGGGAAACGAATTCGTACACCCGTGTATGGGTTAGGAACAAGGACTGTATTCTTTCGTTCATAATTTATTAATGAACAAATGCATTCCAGACATCCGGAGGTGGCAGTATATCGAGGAGAAGCGATTATTCCGAGGGGTTGAACCTCCCGGCGGCCAGTTGAGCGCTCGATTATCCTCAAACGGTGCCTAAAAATTCATCTCTTCGGAGGGAGCGTCGTTTCTCAAGGTGTCGACCCGCCGTGAAAGCATTTCTTAACCGTGCCGGTTTCCGCGAGCATTCCACCAGCACGAGTTCCTCCCCCTTCCCGAGTTTCATTTCCCTAAAAGTACCCACAGCAATCGTCGAGTTTCGCCTCGGCAGTTCGTCGGAATCCGAAATTAAAGAATCTTCAACGTTCGTGGGCTCGTGCTCCCGCCTCAAACGGACCGACCTCTATCTCCTATTCCGCTTCCTCCTCGCCGCGATTAGAATTCCTGGATACGAACTTCGCCCCCGTCGTATACGCTAAATAAGAAACGAACCTCCTTATCGAAGCTCGTTTAGACACCACTTTTATTCCGCCGCTCGAAACTTTCGATTCGAGGGATAGACACTGTTCGAGGGTGAATTTTTGTTCCTTTGGAAAAATTAGCCTTGAGAAAAGGCGACAGGTGGAGATCAGTCGGCGAAGTTCGGTGAAATAAACGTCGGACCACCCCCTTGAGACTCGGAAATGATACCTAATTTTGGCATTTTTTTTTTAAAGAAAATAATTCACTCTATAGAATGTTTTCATAAGGGCTTTGTTTTACTGTCCTTGGAGAGTGTTGACGTATTTTTTCATTTAATTTCTTGGAAAAGTGGCGGCGCTACGGACTAATACTTGAAACTCATTTTCGAAGGAAAGCCCTCGTTGTATTGTCTTTTGCTGCTACACAGTTTCACTTAGAACCTTCATTACCTTCGTGTCAATTACTAAAGGAGCTGGTACATAGGATTTTTAAAAAATATCGAATTTTACAGAAATGGCGAGGGAAAATTTTAGTGTAACAATGTCAATTGCAGAGAAAGTCTTCGATATATTGCAATAATCCTGTGTTCTTCTTTAGATTATACGACAGGGGGTATTTAGTGAAAATTTCAAGTGAATCAGATGAAAATTGTAGAAGTTACGGACAACGCTGTCTTGTGAAAGTGCCATTTTAAGAAGAACGCGTTTAAAATTTCGATTACCGATTGACGCATTTCGAATGGCACAAAACAGTCGAAATTTTTCATTGAAACTATTTCGACAAATATAAATTATCAATTTAACCAAAAAAAAATTCGATTTTTTCACCCCTCAGGGATGGTCTAACTTACAATTAGCGCATGATTTGTTCAGAGGCTGAACGATCGAGCGTTTCACCAAGTCTCCTTGGGATTTCATTCTGAGAGTTCCCAGGGATTTATTCTCCCATTTATGGCGTGAATTAGGAGCAACCGGGCAGTCTAAGTGTGCATGGAGCACCGCCCCGCGATCCCTATCGACTATTATCGATTGAACCGCGAAGGAACTTGATGGAAAACGGGTCCAAAGGAAATTCCTCCTCGCTGGACGCCGGTGAACCGGTTGCAAAACGATAATAGCCGGTGTTATAGCACTTTAAAAAGCATAGTCCATTATCGTGCAGGGTGAGCCAAGTACGCGTAACGCTTAAAAGCTTGAAGGAAAGTGTGTCGGAGAGAGACGAGCAGCGTAAGAGGGACAGAGATCCTCTATACACCGCGTATATATATAATATAGAGGAGAGAATAAAAACAGGAAGAAGGAGTGTATCCCCGGAGGAGCAAAACGTTTGCCCTCAGGTTTGAACGCTCCCAACATTTCCTGCTTGATTTATATCTTATCCAAGTGAATTCTTGAATTCTCCTGACAAAATTAGTCGAAATTAGACGAAAAGTAGAAATTTGGTGGCAAAGTTCAGCGAACACTCCTGAGGCGAACAAAGAGATACCTAACTTTGGCGTTCTTTTCATTTGAGGAAATAATTGACTTTATCAGCGAGAATCCTGACAATCGCGATAAATAAAATTTGACGAATTTTCAAATTGAAACGAATAAAATTTTGAGGAATTTTTAAAAATGGGTTACCTTCGAGATACTGTGATTTAAACACTTCTCTTAGATTTGATAACACTCCTGGGGCTAGCACAAAGATAACTAACTTTGGCGTTTTTTTCATTTGAGGAAATAATTGACTTTATCAGCGAGAATCCTGATAATCGCGATAAATAAAATTTGACGAATTTTCAAATTGAAACGAATAAAATTTTGAGGAATTTTTAAAAATGGTTACCTTCGAGATACCGCAATTTGAACTTTTCTCTTAGATTTGACGTATTTACGGGTTAAATATTAATTCGTTGTTGATATTTTTATCGGGGAGCATGAATTCCTCGTGGGGCATAGTTTTAATAGAATCTCGCGGAAAAGTTGTGCGCGTGCTCGAGGCTGCCGCCGGATAACTGGCGGTGTGGCAGCGCGAAGATATATCGTGGAAAATAGAAAAAGGATTGCCTTGTAATCCGACACTTGGTACCGGTGTGTCCGTAAAAATACGGAATATTTTTACCACGCGACATTTTTTTACTCTTTCGCGGGAGGGACCGCGCTCCCTCTTCTTTGAATCTTCCCGTGGAAAATATTTCGACTCTTCGACGACGAATTTTTTGTTTACTTCACATCCACCACATTCAGGGAACGAAAGTAATACCGATGGTAATTTTTATCGCAGACTAAACTTTAGCACAGCAAACAACTGCGTGAAGTTGTTCAAGGGGGTACACCACTCTAAACTTTTAAGAATTTTTTTCGTAGGTAAATACTAAATGAAAAGTTTCAATTTTTTTTAGAGGATACAAATGTAACTCTCAACTTTTCCCTCCAATTTTTGAGAAGTAGAAATGTTACAAATTGGGGGAGCTATCGCGAATCCTTTTCTGCTGTAACATCGATTGTTGGCCGCCATCGTTTGAAATAAAAAATTCTTCTTGATTTATTGATAAACATGTACCACCTACAATGGTGGCGTACAACTTTTCAAAAATTGCAACTAACGATGGCTATTTGAAGAGGAAACAATTCTTCTTGCCCAGAAAATTCACTTCGAGCGCTTTTAAAAAATTAAATAATCGAGGTATCGAAAAAATCATGGACTACATTGTAGATAATACATTTTTACTTATAAATCGGAAAGAAATTTTTATTTCAGACGTTCCAATACTTGTCGGCAGTGGCGGCCAACAATCGATGTTCTAACAGAAGGGGTTTCGTAATAACTCCTCCAATCTGTAACATTTTTACTTTAGAAAAATTGAAGAGGAAAGCTGAAAGTTACGTTTACGTCCTCCGGGAAAATTGAAACTTTTCATTTAGTAATTGTCTATGAAAAAAATTCCCTAATTTTACCTATTTTTAGACGTCTCAGGGTGGTGCACCTTCAGTCATTGTGATCAGTCATTGTTTCGTACATTGTCACGAACAAGTTTAAACAGACCTCACAACTCCCTGAAATTCATAAAAGAATTGCGGTGCACAGGACTTAGCCATAAGCATTAAAGAAAGAAAACATCGAGAGGCTAGCAACTAGGAGAGCTAGTGTTAAATATGGACGAAAAAAATCGATGTAAAATTTACACAGTCCCAGCAGGTGTGAAACTGAGGCCACCATTATTATTCCAGGTCGATGAGACGAGTGAATCAAACTGCTTGCTCGTTAATAAATAAATTCAATTACAAGTACCAAGCTGCTGGTCTACTTTTAGAAGAGGATCACCAGGTCATATCAATCATGTACTGTGACATCTTTGAAAAGATAACACATCACGCGAGTTCTCTACGTGTAGTTAGATCGTTTTCTAAATCCACCGAACAGAAACGATTTGATAAATGGCCGAAGACGTGAAAAAAGAAGTAGACCGGAAAGTAAGTCAAAGTCTGGAGAGACGAGTGTGCAGTTTCTTCATTACTATTCCTAGCTGGCTACGAAGCCACGATAGTGCGAACGATTCCGCGAGACGTGCTTCCTCTACTGTATTTTCATTCGAGCTCTTCACAGTGGTCGCAGTGGTGGAAAGTAACGACGGAAGAATGAAGGAGCAGGGAGAGCAAAATGGCCAACCCTTCGAGAAGGACGCTTTAGATTCTCCGCCAGACTGCGAGATATCTCTCCGCTTGGTGAAAAGATACGCCCTTGTCTCCCCCCCCCCTTTTTCTCCTCTCTTCCTTTCATTTTCTCCTTTTTTTTTCCGTTTTTTATTCCAGTCAAATCTAGTTCGTGGATCACGCGGAATGAGAATGAACGTGTTTCTCGGGAGGCAAGAACACCCGGGTTGGCCGGGTTCCCCGCGCTATTTTTCCATCCGCCCATTATAAATTTTCGTTTCCTGTGAAATCTGTTTTTCTACATCTCTCTCTGGCCCCCTC